CGAGATTTAAGAGAGAAATTCAAGAATTTTTATTGCGGTTTCTGGTTGCATTCAATTTACAATGTGAAAAACTGTATGAAAAACGATGAACTGATGTATTTTAAAATGTAAAGACGCTGTTGCTTAAGAATTGAGTCGATTTTATTTTTTTATTTTTATTATTTTTATTATTTTACTACAAGACTTTCTATTGACCTCTGTTTCAACTATAATTATTCAGTTTAAATGAAATTAATGGCAGACTTCAGATCACAATTGATTGCCACAATCTACAACTCAGTTGTATAATATCAAACCTCCTTCCAAAAAATGCGCCATTCTCCTCAACTTTCACATCCAACATCATCAACTTTAACAATGAAAAACCTTTCAATTGGAAATTAAATTGGCTTTCAATCGACAAAAAAGAGAAGTAATTTCTTTCTATTACATCGTCAGCATACATCCACATCGTTTGGTTAGAGAGATTGCATATAATGTGTTCAACAACGTAGAAAATATTCAGGAAGAAAGTAGTTGAAGAAATTTTTAAGCACGATCCACAAAAACCGCACACATACACACATGCTTATGTAAAAAGTTTTCGATTCTCGCTGAAAAAAAAAGTTTTTCAATCAGATGGTAATTGAAGAATGGATGGAAATTTGGGGTGTGCGAGAACTTAGAGCGCATTTTATAAGGTAGAACCCAAAACTAAGGACAATATCATTGATTCCAGAGGGCGAAGTCGACTCGAAATTTGTATGAAGTCGAGTGAACTCAAGTCGACTTTTCCATACAAAATCCGAGTCGACTTCGCCCTCTGATTGATTCTATTGTTTAAGGATCACTAAAGCTTTTATGGCACGTCATATGTGAATGATAGGCTAAAGTCCCTCAAAGTCACTAAAGACAACAATTTCCGAAAATTCATTTCAACAAGTCAAACCAACTTCAATTCATACCCGAACCCTCAAAAATTCAGCACAAAAAAAATTTCGAAGTGAAAATAAGTTGCCGAGATTTTCCTACTGATTTATTTTTAATCAAATTTCACATCCAAAACTTCCCAACGAGCATGACATCAAACTCGATGAAAAATTCCCGATAACAATGAATAAAAAGAAGGAAGTGCAAAATGAGGATCGGAAAAAAAGGTCGCAAGAAATTATAAAATAATGAATCCCGAAAAAAATGTGGAACATCCCTAATTTGGATTTAATTTGCTCATTTGACTGACAGATTATCGCAGAGTAAAAATTTTATATATCTACGGTTGAGGTAATGCAATTAAAGTCATAAATTATAGACCCAATTTTTGTGTTTATGTCTGAAAGCCACGAATCGGTAGAGTTGGACTAGGTAAGCACACAAATCATTGGCAGAAAGGTTGCATCAAATTCAGCAAGACTTGTCGTAAAATTCAAAAAATTTAATATACTCAAATTTCAGTGTAAAAAGCTCACAATCGACCCGGAAAAGAGCAACTTGAATAAACAATAAAGTTAAAACTTCCAGCTATAAAGTATTGTCAAATTTCAATTCCTTTATTGTTTGTTCCAAAAAGGAAGAGTGTTGTGAGAAAACACACAAACAGATGTAATAATAGTAATATAGTGGATCGAAGCAGCATGTACATAGTAATTTATTATTCCCATGTTACCATTCGACTGAATCATTGCTTGAAAGTACGTTAAATCAGCAAAATGTGTCGCTTAAGCGGAGGGATTATGGAGTGCTTTATATATTTTTTTTGGATCATATAAGGAATGACGTTAATAACGGCGAACAAAGATGAAAACGGAAAGAAGGAAAAGCACTTTACAACATCCATAAACAACAGTTCACAATTCTTTTTTTGTTGGTTTTTTTTCCTTATTTTCTGTTACAATTCGTTTCAAGGCTGCATCCAGGGCTGGTTTTAAGATCTTTGAGGCACGAGACATCATGATTTGACTGACAAATCTCTTCAATTTTTAAGGAAACCTCAAGAAAGTGTGTCTTAAAAGTATGTATCATTCTTAAAAAATCCATGTACAGCAACTGCTTCTTTATCACCACCGTAAACACATCCAGAAAAGGGAATCTATTTTGCCTCTGCCTCTAATATATTTACGGCTTTTTATGGGTCTCAGTATTTCATCCCTTTTACCCCATTAAGAATTGTAACATAATAACAGTCAAAACCAGCAATACAAACATATAAAGAGAGGAAATATTGAGAAAGAATGAGGAAATAAAGAATAGAGAAAGGATATTAGGAAAATAAAATGTTTTTTTTTTCGGGGGGAAAAAGGCGAGAAATTGAAAAACTGTAATGTGCTTCTAACATACCAACAATTAATCAAATAAAGATGTTGACAACATCATGTAAAAATTGCTAAAGTTTTAACTTTTTTGTTCCAGTTTTTTTTTTGTGTGTCGATTTTAAAAACTGGTAATTGGAAGGTTTTGAGGATGTTGAACACTTTTTCTAAGGTTGGTCAAAGACTCGTCGTGGGGGTTGAAAGGTTTTGAACCAAAACTTGTGTTTTGATAATTTGCTTCATTTTCAATCATTTAAAAGATTTTAAAGCTTAAAATGCAGTCGCATTGCATCAGAAGTTCAAAACACAACTCTTAGGCTCTTCGCTCTAATTGAATTGATCAGCTTTAGGATTCAAACATCTTCATTTTGATCTTCAGTATTATTGATTAATACATTATGCAAGTTGACTTTGCTAAGTCTCAAACCCTTGACTGCTGTTTCACTCATTTTATTCTTAATTACCAATCCTCCACGCCATTGAAGTCTTGTTTGAAATACTCTTATTTTGCTAATTTACTGTATTTAAGCTACCAAGACAAAAAAAATAACTTCTTAAAAATGCGCTCCATCCACATAATTTCCCTCAATCCTTCTATCTATGATTCAACCTTTTCATTCTTCTTTCAAAATTCACTTTCACATCTCTTCCTTGCTAGTTGAGTTTATATATTGTATAATTGAAGTTCAGTATTGTAGATACAGTATGAATGAATGTTATATATAGAAAAGGATAAATTGAATTATTCCATGGAAAATGGCTTTTGGTAACAATGGTGCTTTGTGTCATGCCATACTCTCCCTTCCTACCGCCTTCATTTTTTTCTCTCCAACAATTCATATACGATCTTTTTTTTTAAAAAAAAAAATTAATATAAATGAAAATATAAGGTAGGAAAAAAGGGCAACACTCGACAAGACATAATGGATTGAGTGTGATATCACACAATGAGTCAGAAACAGTTACTGCCTTTATAGATTTAGCTCGAAAAATAGAAAGAAATAAAAAGTTCATTTATTATAAAAAATTTTCCTTTATTTTAGAAACTTTTTAACTCTTTTATTTCATGCTGTGTACTTTGAAGTTGACGACATTTACAATAATTGTCACATTGTGTATGCTGATACTTGTCTAATAGAATATTGAATGTGTTTTTATTGTGATAGGTGAAGACGGTAGACTTGCGTGTCAAATTAAGTTTGATTAAATGCTGAGTCAAGCCTATAGCTCACTAAGGAAGACCTAAACAGCATAGACTGATCATAATCAAATCAAGCTATGCCACCATGCTTTGTTCTTGGAACAACCTTTCATATTTTGTAAATAATAGTTTAGCTCATGCAATTTGCGATTTACTATGCTACAAGGAAGAAATGACTAATTTCTTAGCTTTCAGCATTAGGCACTTCCAATAAAACCATCAAAAATGCCTGTTCCAGCGGAATACCTGAGAGTCTATATCAAAGATTCAAGCTCAAGGTCATCATGAAGATAGACCAAAGTAAACTCCAAAAACTCAAAAGTAATTCCCACAAAACTACACTAATTAAAGACCATTAGAGACAAAGAAAAGGTGAATGTGTCATAAATTTTTATCAACATTCTGAAGTTAATTTAATTTATATTACATATAATTGCTCTCATATGACATTTCATGTAGAATAAATTAATTCTCATTATGATGAGACATGAGATTGAATGGCATGAGGACTTTAGTCCATTGTATGATTACAATTTCATTTTCATTTGTCACAATTTCTATTATAGTCGAGTAAGAAATGAAGAGAAAGTTATTGTAGATTAAAGATCAAAGCGCCTTTTCATATATAAATGTGTATTGACGTCCTTAAATGACAATTTGATGACATAAAAGTGTCTACTAAGCTCACAAGACCAACAGGACATGATAGAGCTTATTTACTTCAGCATAAATGCACAATAAAGAACAGAAGAATAAATACTCTAGTCTCATGGCTTCTCTTTGGATGTAAAATACTTTTGTGTACTTTATCCATCATATTATTCACAAAAGATTCATTTAATAGCCTGAAAGCATCCGAAAAGATGAGAAAATCTCTTTAATCGGGTCTGCTTTTTTGCTAAATATAACCGGTCGTGTCACTTTAGTCTGCTTTTATTCTCAGCATTAAAATGATGAAAATCTTTATAAGGACACAGCAATAATACTTTTTTAATGAGAAAGTTTATTTCATATTTGTGACAGATGTAAATACAGTTAAGGATTGACAACATAAGAAGCTTTATTTAATTTTTGTATGACTTTCTATTTGATGATGAGTCAATTATTTGGCAAAAGAAGGTTTTTCAGAATATTGTGAGTGGAGTTAAAATGCATGTCAATACTTCAGTTCCCATGGTACTCGATTTTACATTAATCTCAGACTGTCGTGGTAGTAATGTTTCTATTTTATCGTTTCCAAGTCGTTACCTTAAACATATGCTTAATGACATTCAAAACATTTCGAGTAATATTAATTGAATATAAACAATTAAGTTCCAGAAAAGATAAAACCAAAAAATATCAGTTCATTCAACAAAAAATCTAGGTATTTAATATAAAGACAAATAAAGTCGCATATCATTTCATTGTTCGATGACAATTCACAGAAGAAGGATGAAAATAATTTTTTTATTTTCAATTCTAACATTGATCGGTAAAAAGTTGGCACATACTCAAAATATATCTTTAATTAGCATTGGAATTTGTGAAGTTATTGAACATTTCTACACAAAATATTCAAGGAATTTAGACATTATAGATTTTGGTGGAACTCACGCTGAATTAATTACACAAATCATGAAGAATGTCAATAGTTCAATGGCAATAACTATACAGACGATAATAAATTGGAATAAATGGAATATAAAACTTGAAAGTCAATCAATTTTGCTGTTCGAAAATTTCAAAAATTTATCATACTTTACTGATCGAGATTTGATGGATATGAGATACCTGAATCCAATCAGATTAATCGTTTATTATCCAAATGCAAAATTTGAAGATATTGTTCTTCTAAGAACCGACACTATAATTGCGCATTACTTTTATTTTATTGTACTTAATCAGGAATTAAAAGCCTTGGAACTTTGTACTTTTGATAACCGGAATGATTTAAAGCTTTGCACTGAGGGTCAACAACTTATTTGTTTTAATAAATTTCCATTATTCCAACTCAAATGGGTCATAAAGCCTGTATTTCGAATAAAGCATCAAAATTTCCATGGCTGCATAATGAATATTGGAATAAAAAATCATACAAATATTTTCCTAAGTTATTTTCGAAATAAACAAGTCATTATAAATGAGTTTCTTGCTGACTTCTTGAGAACGCTTTCAAAACATTTAAATTTCTTTCCAAATGCAAAATTATGTCTGGAATATGACTGCAGCGATCATATTGATAGTACTTTTATTTATAATATTTTAAGTGTCACAACTCTTGATGCAGCTGTTCTTGATCACAGTAATAATATGAGATGGATGTATGTTATGATGGGACTTGAATGCACGTTAGTATTAGATAAACTGTGGTTGATTAAGCAAGCTAAATAATGATAGTTCAAACTCCGTTTTACTCCGCAATTGATTTAAACAAAATTATTGTATATTCTATTTATTTCAGACCATTACTCTGCATTCCACCAAGCAGCTTGTATACATCTATGGAAAAGTTGTTTCTTCCATTTGACAATGAGACTTGGTACGGCATATGCATCACATTTGTAATTAGCTGCATTGTAATAACAATATTTAATGAATTTCCACAAAAAATCAAGAAAATGGCATATGGCAATACTGGTGGAACTACAGCTTTCAATACGTTTCAAACATTTTTCGGGATATCTCATGTTGAAGTACCGAATGGAAATTTCGCTAGAATTGTCATGACTTGTTTTGTTTTTTGGTGTCTAGTCATTAGAACTGCTTATCAAGGAAAGCTTTTTGAGCTTACAACAACAGCAATAAGAAAGCCTGAACTACAAACACTGAAAGAACTGAAGGACAAAAACATCACTTTGTATTTTTCAAGCGCCAGCTCACACTATCCCATGTTTGCATATACAAGAAATGTCATTAAGTAAGTTGATAAATTTGGAACTTGAAACGCTTAATTAAAACTTTTTGTTCCAGCATGTCTTCAAAAATTGTTCCATCCAAAGAATACATAGACATTTACATTCAAAACCTTACAGATCCAACATTCACTGGTACTGTCTTAACATGCGATATCGAGCATAAACTTCACAGTTTCTTTAAACAAATTTCTATGCCCAGAAGATTTGTTCCAACACCAATTACAAAGTCTTATTACGGAATTGGATTTCAACATCCAAATTTGTGGGCTGAAAGATTTAATGAAATTGTTGAAGGTTTAGTCACTGGCGGAATTATGAATTTTTATATTGAAAGAATGACAAAATCCAAATGGAATCTAATGGTTGCTAATGAAGATCCAGAAAAAGTCGTACTTAATATGACCCATCTTGGTTTTGGATTCCAGATTTGCTTTTTTTCAATTTATGTTGCACTTCTGAGCTTTACTTTGGAGATTATCATTCATTGGATTGCAAGTCGTAAGAATCAAGCATATGAAGATGAGACTCTTTAGAAGAGAATCGCAGTTTTTTCGTCAATCAACTCAATCAAATTAATTTTTGATTATACTCAAAATAGTCGCAAGTCATTCGACTTCTTTGTTGACAAAAAACTTAAACATTAATGAAAAGGATTAATTGTATTTAATAATATCGATTCTCATGTACAAACTTTTGTTTGATGTTATTAATAAGCAAGAAAAACATTAGATAAGTATGAAATTGTCATATTAGGAATATTGTATATTGAAAAGTCAATCAACTATTAGAATCACTAAGTTTTGTATTAAAAGTATTAAAAGAATATAAATAAAATCTAATGGAAATGAAAGATCATTCAGAAAAGATTGTACTGAATATAAGTCATTTAGGGTTTAAAGAATCAAACAAAAAAAAAATTTTCACATTTAAGTTGAACTCATTTAGAAGATAAGATCAAACAAGTTCTTTTTCAATTACACTTTAATAGCTTTACAAAAAGTAAAATTTAGTCTACTTATAAAAATCAATGCTAGAAGTCTATAAATGAAGTTTTGGAAACTTCAAATTGTAATTTCAGTAATATTTTGTAATAAGTTGGTCATTTCTATAGATTCAACAGAAATAAGCATCGCAATTTGTGAAATTATTGACAAATTCTACTCAAAGTATTCCCAAAATGTAGATATTATAGATTTTGGTGGATCAAATAGTGAACTGGTTGGACACATCATTAAGAATGTTAATAATTCTATGACACTGACACTGCAGTCATTAATAAACACCAATCAATGGAATCAAGACATTGAAAGTCAATCAATTTTATTATTTTGCAATTTTAAAAGTTTGTTTAATTTTACGAAAAAAAATTTGATGGATATCCATTTTTTGAATCCAATAAGGCTCGTTGTTTACTATCCTAATGCAAGTCTTGACGAAATAAGAAGTCTTCAAGTTGATTTTGTTATTACACATTACTACTACTTCCTTATTTTCAACCAAAGCACCGAAACTATTACTCTGTGGACTATGGATAATCGCAAAGATCGAAAGATATGCATAGAACATCAACAACTACTGATCATCAATGAATTCTCACTTACAAAATTACAATGGACAATAATTCCTATTTTTCGAAAAAAGTTTACAACTTTTTATGGCTGCACAATGAATATTGGAGTTCATTATATTGCATCTTTTTTTCGAACCACTTATAAAACAGGACATACAGTTCCAAACAGCTTTCTACTTGATTTTCTAGACTCATTGTCTAAACATTTAAATTTTATTCCAAAAATTTATTTTTGCTTTGAATTGGATTGTAGATATCATAGAAATAAGGGCATTGAAATTTACAATGTTTTAATTACCACAACAATCAATGGAGTTTCTCTCCTTTATTTGAATGACACGAGGTGGACACAAGTGATGATGAATGCTGACTGCACGTAAGTTCTACAGTTTTTCTTTTATTAGAGATTATCCATCAAATGCTCATTCTTTGAACAAAAGCGATTAAAGTCTCTCGTTTAAAAAGTACAAAGAATATTTTTCATATAAATCTTTTCAGTCCAGTTCTTTACATACCACCAAGCAACTTCTACACATCTTTAGAAAAAACTTTACTTCCATTTGATAATTATTTCTGGTATGGTATATGGGCAACTATCATTTTATATTGTATCATCATCTTAATTTGCACTAATATTCCGAAAAATATTAAAATAATGACAACGATAAGCACCAGTGACACTACAGCTTTTCATACTTTTAGATTCAAAATTCTGAATGGAAATTTCATAAGATTAACCATGATTAGCTTTACATTTTGCTACTTTGTTATAAAAGTAGCTTTTCAAGGAAAACTTTATGAGTTCACAACAACAGCAATAAGAAAACCTGAAATTAAATCACTGGAAGAGTTAAGGGACAACAATTTTACATTTTTTATCTCAGAAATCGTTGAACAATATGAAACTTACGGGCGATTACACATTAAAAAGGTCATTAAGTAAGCTACATGTCAATTATTCATGTTTAGTGTATTAACAACTTTTATTTTCAGTTTGAGCACTAAAGTTGTTTCTAATACAGAATTCATCAACATTTACTACGAAAATCTTACAGATCCATCATTTACTGGCACAATTCTTACTTGTGATCTTGAACACAAAATGAGTAATTTTTACAGACAAATTGCAATGCCTGAAAGATTTGTTCCAACATCATTTGGAAAGTCATATTATGGAATTGGATTTCAATATCCTAATTTGTGGGCTGAAAGGTTTAATGAAATTGTGGAAGGTTTAGTAACTGGAGGAATTATGAATTTTTATATTGAAAGATTGACAAAGTCTAAATGGAATCAAATGGAAGCTAATGATCATTCAGAAAAGACCATGCTTGATATGACTAATCTAAGTTTTTGTTTTCAAATTTGCTTTTTCTTACTTTATCTCTCATTTGTGCTGTTTATTTTCGAACTCATCGTAAATTGGACAGGAAAATTTCTTGAAAGATTTAGAACCGTCAAGGACAGTCAAATAGGAATCAGCATTGTCAATAAAGATTTAATAAATAGTTATGCAACTTTAACATCGATCATTACAAAAGGAAACTTTATGTCTGAGAGCAACATGATGGCATTAATAGAAAGTCAATCATCACAATCATTCAATGCTCTTTTTGGACGAAAAGTGGAGCTAACGGAGGCTGATGTCACTGAATATGTTGATGGAATTGTTATGGATTTCCTGCAGTATATAATAGAAGATCATGTAAATTGAAAGCATTAGAAAGATTAGGTTTTAAACAATGTGGCACTTTAGGATTAATTTTCTAATCTTAAGGCAGCAATATATCTGCAATAAAATTGGACATTAATTTTGGACTACATTCTCACAACTATGGTAGGTTCGAGACTCGCCATTGGAAGTTTTTGAGAAAAACTATGAAAGAAGTGCTTCAGATTCTTCTTTAAAAATCTAATTGTTCCAACAAAGAACTCAACACAACACATATACTGCTACGACACTCCTAATTTAAAATAGAAGTGAAAAGTACAGCAATAAATCACAGCATAATCCAAATTTAACGGTCGCGAGAACTAAATTAATTTTATTAAGATCGTTTTCAATCTTGTATGCGAGAATGTGTCCCAATTCCTTAAAACAAAATGATGTGCTTTTCATATACACATAAAGCATCTCATACACATCAATAAATGCTATAAGGAATAGTAAGCATCAGCGTTATTGCTGATGAATATTGATGGCATAGTGAACATAATGCGGAAAGATAATGACGACGAAAAAAAAGGATAGATTAAATAAATTTATTGCCTTACATTTTCGTATCGTGAGTTGAGTTTGAGTTGTGCTAAGTTGATGGAGGGGAAATGTGGATGCAGAGAGATATAAAAAGGAAATTGTATGTATAAGCAATGAAAAATTGTGTCATTCAAAGGAAAAAAAACCAAAAAAAATCTTCTTCTTTTCTTTCTCACTCAACTCAATTGACTGACTTCCATTGCTGACTGTATACATACATAAAGCTTCAATCTATCCTTGCTTGTGCTTTATTCCTTTATATCCACTAAGATATTTATTTCATTTCATTTTATTTGATTGTTCAGGATCCGGAAATGGTTTTGTCGATGACGCGTATGTGGTGCTTCTTTTGGGTCTTCTACTTCGATAGTGGTTTTTAAAAAAGTAACTTCTAGGTTGGAATGACTGTGGCATGAACGACTTGAGAAAGGTCTCAAATAAGCCAAAGTTGGTTTGGTTTTTAAAAACTCGGACATGATCAGAACCAGCCAAAGCTTTATTTATTTGTTGGGCAATTCTATGCATGGCATATGACTCCAGCAGTAGATTGACATAACACAAAACGTGGAAGTCAACCAATCATGTCCACTTGTCATCAGTTTTCTCAACTTTATTTATCGATAAACATTAAACATTGATGAGTTGATTGTTCAACTTTGACTTAATTGATTGCGATGAGAAGATTTATCATTTCATTAGTTGAATCATGCCACTGATTTATACAGCATCACATATTTTATCTTTCATGAAATAAAATGCTCGATATCATACGAATTGATTGGATTGAAAGCAATATATAAATAATCAATAAGCGGAATAACGGTTGGATGAAGTTTCTTTTCTCTAAAACTTTGCTTCTTTTCCATCTTCAAATATCAAAAAAAAATATATTATACACGACATTTTCTTCTATCGTCTGACAAACACTTGAAGAATAAATGGAAAGTTTTCTTCTATTCTTCAACTCTAAACAGCGACAAATAAAAGATGAGCAAAAAAAACTTCTTTCATATTTGTTGACTGAATTTTTGAGAACTGTAGATTCTTTGGGATTATCACTTTGGTCTCAATTGAACTTGTAGTAACAAGTTGAAAGTGATCAGGAATTAAAGCCTGTATCATTTTCAATATTCTTTATATTGTAAGCAACAACAAACCTTTTAATATTTGCAACTCCTTTTAATCTTAAAATACTTTCTTACTTGATCCACGTATCCATAAAACACCAGCAAAACTAAATTCCATCTCGATTTAAAACTAAGAAGAAGGAAGAAAAGTGAAGAAAAAATTTTAAAAGCAGTCAAAAGAGATAAAACTTTTAAATGAATGTGTCGAGGATCTTTGGCTTCAAACGCCACAAGATAAGACAACAAAATACAAAATACACAGCGAGTTTATCCTGTTTCCACTTTAAGTTTGTGTCGTGTTCTTGAAGCAAACAATAAGAATAATAAGGATCAGTGATGAAGTTGGGAAAAGGGAGGAAGTTTAGTTTGAAGCTGTCTATTTAAATCAGGCTTGGAGGTTGTGTGCTTGATTCCAGGCTTGGTTGTTTGGGACGTCTGTGAAAATTATATTTTTAAAACTAGCTTGATATCGAGTGGATTTAATCCCCTGCCTTCCTTACTACAACACTGATAAGCAAATACCAAAGAGTTAAAATGCGCATCAATGGTGTCTATAACAGTCTCATCATCAAACAATCAATGCAAAAACTTGCCATTCAGGATCATATTTATATTTACGATAAAGCATAAAAGCGCTAAAGGAAGAAGATTGTGACGAGAAAATAAAATAAAATAGTTTTTTCCCACTCGCTTATCATTCCTCTGATTCCTCGTCTATATTTTTATTTATTGCCAGCTTTTAGCTTCTTTCCATCATACTGCATGATACAAAATACATGGAAAGATATAATAATGAAAATAATATTGTGTAAAAAGACTTGATCTCACAAGAATCAAATGTATCGCTGTTGTGTATCATAGCTCAAAGTTTTATTGAATTTTTCTTGTTCTCCATCTCGCTCGTTCTTTCCGTTTCAATCATAGAAAGTATGAAGAAAGAAAAAAATCCATCTTCTTTGTTTTTTCTTTCGTATGATAAAGAAAAGCGTATTCTATTGCATGGATGATAAATAAAAGTGTAGTTGAAGATCTGTAGCAGTAAATGGGTGAAACAATTGAAAAAACAATATATTTTGAATGAAGAGAAGAAATCAAGAAAAGCTGATAGCGTAGATTGTGTTCATGGGAAATGTATGAGTTGTTTGAAAAGTTTGAAGGAAATTGAAGTAAAGTTACTGAGAACTTTATGAGTATCGTTCCATTTCAAAATGATTCTGAGAAATTTATTCCAGTGCATGAAGTTAAAAGCTTTAAATGCTTTTTGATAACTTAAGTGGAACAGTCTAACATAACGGCAAAAAACCGAGAAGCTTGAACTATTTCAATATTTCTAAAAATCATCAACTTACACTCAACACTAGGATCTTGAGCTTATTCATTTTTAGAAGTCGGTTTCTACGGCTGCATAAAATACCTAGGATATGATACATTTTGGAGCCTTCTAAATAGGCTTCAGATTTAGACTACCTTTTGCGATCCAGCAATAAAATGATATCTACCTGATTCTCACTTCATTGCCATAAATCTTGATTTTTCAAGCAATTCCTTTCTTAAATCCACCAAATAAAACAAAACCAACGAAGCTTCCAACAATTTCCAATCAATAATGTGAAAAACACGCTCATAAATAGCTGAAAAATACTTCCTTTCCCCCACACCAGCAGACAAGGCAAAAGAAACAAAGAACAGTAAAAAAATTCAATATAAATTTTTTCACAAAATGCTTTTTCGTTATCTCATGAAACACATCATTGAATTCGCGCCATTCCAATCATGGCTAATCTTTTTTCTCTGTTCCGTTCTCATCGCGTATTGTTTTTCATGCTCTTGTAATTTTTTTTTCTCTGACTGCTGTTCCATCAATTGACTAAATCGGGTGAAAGTATCTGTGGAATGACTAAAGAGCATGACAACTATGACTTTTTACAGCATTGATTAATTACTTTTTAACGATTATTGATGAATTGTTGGGAGAGAGTTCAGGTGTGGAGTCATGTGGGATGAATTGAGAAAACTTGTGGAATATTGTTCAATTTAATCGACATTGTAGGTTACTTCGAACACATACTAAGTGTCCCTTGCCTCTCTATTTCTATGAAAACACTCCCGTCTTAAAAGTTTCATGCTCTCAAGTCAGACACAAATTAAAATTAAGCAGCATCTCCTTTTTCAGCACTGTCGGCGCCACGATCAAAATAAAAATTATGCTAATGCAGAAGCTCTAATATATGAGATTTGGAGCTAAATTTAGAAAGCACAAAAATATTTTCGCAAACAGAATTTTTCAATTCCAATAAAAAAGTTCAAGAGTCAACGAGCTAGACTAGTCAGTAATTAATCTAAGTCAACACTTTGTATTTCTGTGAACTTTGAATTGATGATGAAAAACAAAATCCCACGTTTTTCAGTCAAAAAGTGGATTTACGTTTTTTTATCGATGAATGCATTTTGTTGAGATTCTTCAAATTTTATTAATGGATGAGAATGATGTTTGATGTTTGTGATGTAAAAATAGGTTGTAAGCATTATTAAAGTTTGAAAATTTTATGAACTGGAGATCAATATTAAGCTTTATTCCTTACAACAACGCAAAGTTAAACCAATCAGCAACAAATTTCACTTAAAAAGCAATTAATCAAAACGGCACTTTGAGCAATTCATAACAATAAAAGGAAACAGAAAGAAAGGCAGTTAGAAAAGGAAACAAAGCGTCAAAGACGAATAGAAATAAAAAAAGGGAAGTAAAAGATACAAATCTAATTTATTAGAAATTTCTTCATTAATTCAAGTGGTGGCGTGGGAATTCACTATCCCAATGCCATTTCTCTAGCTTTATGCGGATAAATAAAATATATCAAGCACATTATTATCATTTACTATTGCTGCATATTGCTTCTCCGTCCTTTTCTTTTCCTCATCTCATCTCATCGATTAATGATGTCATTTTCGAGTTTATTGATTCAAGGCACGACTTAGATAAACCCACGATTGAATTCCATTGTGATACTGCCATTTCATTCCATTCTCTTGTTCTATACATATTTTTTGGACATAAACATTTCTCTAGTCTCTCTCTTTTTTGTGCTTCTACTGCGGAGAATAAGAAGCAGCAAAAAACAACAACATCGCGTACGACAAAAAAAGCTAAAACTGCAGAAGAGAGGGTGATGTGGTGGATGTAGAAATTCCCTTGAAACTATTTTGCCCGGTGATTAGTTTTCTGGGAATTCGATGTGTTTTGGCATTAAGACTGAATTTTTTAAGTGACACAACCTCAATTTCGAACTTTTTGGACCCTTAGTCAATGCGAAACTCGAATCAATTACTAAG